AAATTCTATAAACAGAAAAAGAAATAGATAAAATGTTTTCCACAAATGTTTAGCTCCATGCTTCCAAGAAGATTTTAGACTTAATGCAAACCTACATCCAATCGTTTAACATAAATAATATAAGCTAACACCGTTTTTAACTGTTTAAACGGCTTTACTGTTGATGCGTACAAATAAAGCACATAGTTTGTTGTTGTTATTCATCTTAAATGATTTAAGAACCCTGGTAGCCAATACACCAAACTGATTTAATATTAAAAAAAAAGACTAGTGATAATTTGTTGCTATGAAGCTTACATACTAACTGTAGTGATTAGTTTAATCAATCTGATAACAACACTGGCTCATCCGGTGTTGGACCTTTGTGTTGGACGATGTCTATTGCAGGCTTTTATTATAGCTGCGTTCTTTGCCTGAGCACCTGTGGTAGTCAAACGGAGGATTTAAATACAGTCATCTCAGTGTTACGTGCGGCTTTATGATCAGCATCTTTATACTTTTAGCTTTTAAAACTCCTTCAGCTTTCCTTTTATAACACTATTCAAGTTTTTTTGATGCTGTACCAATAAATTATTATATTTTATTGGTCTTCTGAAAATGCATATTCCAATATAGGAACCTTGTATTTTTTACAACAGTGGTATTCATTCAATACGCACTTACATGTTGCAATATTGAGCAGTTTAATTTTTCTCTTGTCTTTGAAGCTTCAAGTTTTTGCTTTTAACTTCTTTTAACACCTCTTAAGCATAAAACCAGGTTTTAAGATGTTTAATCATCTTTTGTGATATCACTTGAGTTGATAAATCTAACCTAAATATTTTAATGTGTTCAGAAACCAAAGATACGAAATTTTTTTTTTGAAATTTATCTGGGCTCAAACTTAATTCAAAGTAAAGCAGTATTTATTGAGGTTTTTTTAATTTTTTTCAATTTTTCAATTTTTCTAAATTTTCAATTCACAAAATATTTTCAAGGAAATGTAAAAACAAACTAGATCAAAAAATAAAAAAGATCAAAAAATAATTATTATTAATAACCATAGTAATAAAAAATAACCATATAAAGTTTAAATATAAAATATTTTCTTTATGATATTTCATGTTTCATGAAAGTCAACGTATTTAATTTTTATGGTAAAATTATTTTCCTGTATGCAGGACATCGTGTAAAAAGACGGTTGAAGGAAGGGAGGTTGATTGTGTGACCGGCAAAAATAGTTCTCATTTTTAATTAAAACAAAAAATGCTTTCTATTGAGAAAATTTTGAAAAATTAAATTTTTTTTATTACTATCTGTAAATTATTAAATGAGGAATATATTTGTTGAAAGAAACATTTTTTTTCAATTCAAAAGTAAAATAGTTTTTAAAAAGCACAAATAACGAAAAAGTAATATATACAAACTTACAACGTTAATAAGTTATTGAATTTAAATCTTTTAAATCTGCTTATCAAGATCTTAATTATCTCCTAAATTTTTTTCTAAAACATTTAGGAGATAATTAAGTTAAAACTTACTTTGTTGTTAAAACTTACAACGGCATCATAAGTTATTGAATTTAAATATTTTTAAATCTGATTATCAAGATCCTAATTATCTCCTAAATTTTTTTCTAAAAGCAAAAAACGTCAATGATTCTACATCTTTAACTATTTATTATAAATGTATTTTCATCAATTGTAATATATAAAGGTACTAAAACCACTAGTTTGAATGCTTTGAGAACCCATTGGAACATTTTTTATTTTTATCTTGAAAATTTACAGATCTTTTACTGGAGCATCTGATTCAGTATATGTAACCATATAAGTTCTAATTCTGTATTAAATAATTAAGCATCAGTAATTTCTTCATTATTTGAAAGCAACTTCATTATAGAAAGCAACGTTTTTTAATATATTTTAATGTAGAGATTTTTAGGAGTCACTGCAGAGACGAAAAAATTTCAATAAATATTTTAAAAAACAAGAATAAAAGTTAAATGTTAACTTTGAAAATTATTGAGTATTGGAAGCCAGTAGTTGTTTTTTATTTCATAGATAATACAGTCTAACACAGAATTAAGTTTTTAAGTATAGTATTGAAAGATATCTATGGAAACATAGGGTGTTAGGTTTTTTATTGTTTTAAAATTGATTCTCGTTTACAATGATCTCTGCTTTTAACGCATCGATTTCATATTTGTTACATATTTTAACCACGATGTACATGATCTCTAAAAATTGATGAGTGTGATGTAATCACGAGTTATACTCTATTCCATATAAAAGACAAAAGACTAAAACATTCCTTAAATATTGTTCAAACTTTATTTAAAAAATAAAAAATTAAATAATAAGCAAGTAAAATTTTTTAGCAATTCTTGTCGTTGATTATGTATTCTAACTTCTCCAGATAAATTATATATGGTAAAAAATTACCAAAACTATTGGTGTAATGTTTGATTGACCATACTTCAATATGCTAAGTCTTAAATTGATAAATTTTTCTAATTTACAGTTTAATCAACTTAAATTTATCATTTAAGCATTGATACATAGTTCTCAATGGTCAATTATTCAATAGGTTAAGGTTTTTAGGTTTCCTTTAATTTCAAATTTAGTTTATAATGGTATTCCTGTAGGTTCATTAGGAAAAGTGTCTAAAAATCAAAAAGTTTCAATCATAGAAAAGTACTTCACAGGAAGTTTGAAATTGTTATAATTATTCAGTCAGAAATTAATTAGAACTAAATGAGGATAACATGTTATGTTCTTGCCCATTACATGGGTAAGTACACACAATTCAAAATTGAATACTATTTAAATAAGATGAAAACATGCATCAAGATTAGTTTATAATAAATATAAAATCACCCATGCTGAATCCTTACTAAAAACCTTAAGTGCACTGAAATGTTTACCAAACCAACATATAACAAAATGTACTATTTATGCTTAAATACAAACTTGGACTAGCCCCATCGCATTTTTTAGAAAACCTCTTTCAAGTAAACTCTAATAGATATATAACAAGAGCAACAGGCAACTTTACACTGCCTAAAAGAACAACAAAGTTCTCAGGGTTTTCTATTTCCTACCAGGGTCCGTATCTATATAGCAAAATAATATCCAAAAATATAGAACTTAAAGTATTAAATAATCCTGCCAACTTGAAAAAAAAATTAAAACACCTCATACTTAATATCAACAATTATATCAACATGTATTAAACTTAACAATAAAGTTTATATTAAAATATTTATGTATATATGACTATATACAAAAATGAAATAGACTTTATTTAACCATTTGAAGAGGTACTCGATGATAAGTCATAGACTTCTACGAGTTTTCCTTTGCAACAACATGTATATATCTGAAGTACCAACAACATGTATATATCAAAAAAAATTTTGTCTTTTTTTTTCTTTTCTTATTTTTATTCTTTTATTTTTTAAAAATACTGTTAATTTTCATGATAAGAAACACTACTAATTTACGCTATACTTAGATATACTTGTTAAACCAACTTTTATTATGCTATGTTATACGTGGTATTATTATCTTATATTTTTACGTGGGATTATATTATGTCATGTAGTTATAAAGTAACGATGTGTAAATTTATTGAAGTTTTAAAAAAAAAAAAACATGAGTTATCTTAATAGGCGTGTTTCTTCAATTTCGAAAAAAAGAATGTTCTGCGCTATATTACATTTTTAGTAAGGTGCAGCACAAATTTTTTTAAGTATTTCCGTATCTTGTACTTTTGCTTTTAAGTTTACTGAGTAAGTTTCTAATGGTTAACTATGAATACCTACTAAATATCTATTTCATTATGTCAGATATTTATATTCTCTTTTTATTTTATTGGCTAATGCAGAGATGCGGTTCCGATGCATTACTAACATTTCTAAACTTCTGTTCCAAAGCTGTGAAATGCTTCTCTACCCACTGGAAGAAGGAACAATCAGTGCTTAATGTGCCTCGAATCAACATAGTAGCCGAGAGAGCTGTAAAGTTGATGGGGGACATTCGTTTTTCTTGCAGAACAAACAAATATCTTAACTGTAAATTTATTAATACGAATATACAAATCTGAAAGATTATTAACATCACTACAAATGCTGTAGCACAGTGTATTTCTCATGTATTTCTCATATGTATTGTATATAAAGTTGACATATTATAATTAATAGCCTTTGGGCTGCTATGTGTTGTATGGTTAAATATGAAACTGTCTTAGGTGTGGGAAGTTTTTTCAAGGTATGGTGAAATCAATGTCATTTCTGTGATTTATAGGCAAAAGTTCATCATTTAGAACTCCAGACTAATTGATTTAAAAATTTATCATATACCTAGTATCAATGTTTTATTATTATAAACCGGGTAAAAAAAAAAATGCTTTTACTCAGCGTTTTTGGAGTAATTGCTCAACTTTACGTGATTAAAAACTTGACCGAAATCCCTTTTTAATTCACTTGAATAAAAATTTGAGGGATTTTGCTCATAAAATTTTGCATTAAAAATTTAAACCGAATCCTTCAAGTTTTAATACATATACGTATATATAATATACATATAACATATGTTCGCAGTTAAGCCAGTTTGCATTTTCTGCATTCGCACTTAAGCCAAGAAATTCGCTTCTATTCAGTCGTCCCTCTTTAACGGCGGATTATTTCCCTTTAATTAGAATAAATTAATAACTATTTAACAAACTACTTATTCCTTTTTTGCACTTTCCTGAAGAAAATGTTAGGTTCTGATTTTTTAATAACTTTTGAAGTGTGACCAAACACGTTGTTTTGATTTTTTTTAAGCACTAAAACATTTTTTGAGATTGAATTGAACCTATGAAAAAAGGAGCTGTATATATAAAAACTTTATATATTTATGAGTTACATCTATCGATTTCGAAATTACTTTTTGCAATTTTCATGTTGGCATCGAAATTTTAACTATTTTTTCGTTAATTTTCCTACTAATAAAGTTAGCAAAGAACAATTTTCAGTGATGGCCGTTTTAGCTCCAAAATCAACTTTTTTGTTTCCAAGCGAATCCTGTGAGCACGAAGGAACCTGGTTGCAGTGGCCACATGAATTTGAGTATGGTGTTACTTATCGAGAATCTCTTGATAAAACTTGGGTGGCAATAACGAAAGCAATTTATTTAAATGAAAAAGTGCATATAATTGCATACAATATTACAGAGCAAAATAGGATTTCAAATTTATTACAGTCAGTTGGAGTTTCGTCAAAAAGTATTGATTTCAAAATCCATAAAACAAATGATGTGTGGATAAGAGATAATGGTCCAATTTTTGTAAAAGATTCTAATGGTAACTTACTAATTGAGGATTGGGGGTTTAATGGATGGGGCAAAAAATTTGCTTATGCACAGTGTAATAAAATACCATCATTGATTGCAATAGACCTCAAAATAGATGTGTTAAAAGTTGATATGGTTCTAGAAGGAGGAGCTGTAGAATTGGATGGACAAGGTGTATTATTAACTACGAAAAGTTCAGTACTAAGCCAAAAGCCGCGCTCTACTCGAAATCCTGGTATGAACCAAAGTGAAGCTGAATTAATTTTATCAAAATACTATGGTGTTTCAAAAATAATTTGGCTTAATGGCAGTTTTATCAAAGAGGATGTAACTGATATGCATATTGATGGAATTGCAAAATTTGTTGACGGAAATAAAATAGTTACTATGAACAAAAAAGATTTGTTATATTTAGGACTTTGTAATGAGGATATACATATTCTTTATGAAAGTTCAAATATTTTTAATGCAGTGTATACGAAAGTTTATTTACCACTTACACAAAAAAATGTAGTTACAACTTCAGGAAAAAGTATTGGAATTAAAGGATGTTATGTAAACTACTATGTTGGGAATGGTTTTGTCTTGGTTCCAAACTATGATGATCCTCATGATATAATTGCCAATGATATTATTCAACGTTTATATCCAGAAAGGAAAGTAATTGGCATAGACTCCAGAAATCTCTATAAAAATGGGGGAATGATTCATTGCATAACACAGCAGCAACCTGCAACAAGTTAATTTAAAAAAAAAAAAATTCAGTTTCAATGTAAAATTAAAAATGCTGAAGTTAGAAAATATCTCATAATTACAGACTACATTTTTTGTTGATAAAATTGAATTACAAGAACCTTAAAAAAATGTTGAAACACTATTTTCATTGCATTAATGCACCATTAACTAATGCACTTGTTTTCTATTAAAGTATTTATGAATAAAGTAAACAAACCATTAAACAAAACATTAAAAGATTCAGTTTTGCAAGTCTATGTTTTATATTTTGTAATAAAATCTTAATTTTTTTTAAGATTAGCAAACTTTGAAATTTGTCAGCAAGATGTTGCAATTTTCCAGTTATCATTACAAGTTATCATTAGTGCACACTTTTTAAAAGTTTTAAAATGCTAACTTTGAACTAGATAACGTTTCAGATGGCTAATGTGGTATGATATTTCATGTAAGAATCGATGGCAAATATTTTTATTTGTGCTTGTGCGTGTGTGTGTGTGTCTGTGTGACTTGTCATGTGTGTGTGATTTATGATGTAGTTTTTATTTTATTAAAAGTTTACATATATTGGCTAGTTTATTAAGGAATAGGTACAATATAAAAATGATTAAATGTTGCACATTAAAAATGTTTATTATAGAACAATATTTGTATTTATGTTAGTATGAAAGTCATTTGTGGCAGTTTATTGATTGTGATTTATTCACTGTTAAGAGGATTTAAATATTATTGTAGTATGACAGATTGGGCTAACAAAATTGTAAGCAAGATACTTCCCTAATCATATACTACTGACAGATACTCTCATCAGGTCAGATGTATGTTCATTAAGATCACCCTGCTGAAAATAAAAAGTGCAACACACTTGCTCCAGATGCCGTATGGTAATTACATAACTAACTGATCAACACGATTTTCGTTGTAAGTAATGTAAAGGTTCATCTATTTTTATTTTACTTTAAATATTGTAGTCCTGTGACCTAAACAACTTTTATTGTTTTAGATTTACAGTCCCCATTGCACAATGGAAGACAAAGTAGCAGAGTATGTGAAAGAACCTTTATTTGTTAGCCATGGAGATGTGTTTGAATACTGTAGAAAATCTAAGATTATATCAAAAAACTAGTACAGAAATATTTAGGGACATCTCTATCTTTAATGTATTTGGAGCCATTATTTGGTACTTTGGGGCTTATCTGCGACAGGAAAAGAACCCATTTAATTGCATAGTGAGTGCAAATACTAGTGTTTTTTAACAAAAATCTGCCATATCTTATACTTAAAAAATTAAAAATTTCTAAAATTTAGATTACCAACTTTTCTGGTCAATTTGACATTGATTCTAAAAATTAGATAAATTTTATACAAAATAGCATCTAAATTACACTAATTTAGCAATTGAAAATGCTTATAATTTTCTAGTTACTTAGCAACGATCCAAGCAACCAGAGTGATAAAATTTATTTTATTTCCTATCTTAAGTGTATTCATTCAGTATGGAAATTAACTTTAGAGCTTATAGAGCTTTTTGTTTTGACTTGCTTCTGGAACTTTTTAGATTTTATAGTAATAGTTTAAATTATTTTTTATTTTTTAATGAGCTTTTTTCAGATTTGACTTTGATCTGAAATAACTTAAAATGTGTTTTGTCAAGTTTATGAAAATTTTCAGGATTCGTCTATTACGTAACAGTCTATGTTCTGAACTAAAAAATGTTGAGTTTTTAACCAAATAATTGTAATTGAGCAAATTAACCAAATAATTGTAATTGAGCAAATTAAAGTTATACTTTTGATTTATTAACTTTTTTTCAGTTTAGAACATGCATTGCACCATTATTTTTTAGTTTGCAAAGATTGATGTAAATATCTTTTTGCAATCAAAAGATATATTAGAACAACAAATCTGCATAGTTTGAATTTTTCCCTAATCATTTTTAATAATAATAATTTTTTTTTTGTAAGTTTTTTTATAATTTTATTTTTGTCATTGTAAACCTTAAAGACATAATTATAAAGAAATACTTTATGAAATATTTTTATGTGCCACCTTAACTATGAGTACTAACGGTAGGCGCACATCTGAATACTGAAAAGATAACATTCTATGTATCTGATCTTTTATACTGTTACTTATGACTACATATATATATATATATATATATATATATATATATATATATATATATATATATATATATATATATATATATATATACATACATATATATATATATATATATATATATATATATATATATATATATATATATATATATATATATATATATATATATATATATATATATATATATATATATATATATATATATATATATATATATATATATATATATATATATATATATATATATATACATATATATTTATATAAGGTTAACCTTAAAAATCAACATATTTAAAAATTGTGTAACCCTTAAATGTGTTCTATGTAATAAAATAAGTTAAAAAAAATTTTAATAAAATTTATTTTAGAGGTTTAAAAAGTCCCATTTTGGAAAAAAAGTCTTTTAAAAGTAGGTCTACTACTTAAAAGTACTTAAAAGAAGTGAAACTAAACAAAAATACAAAAATAATAATCATTTTATATATGAATTTTATTTTAAAATTGATTGCTTAAAAGCTACAGTTTTTGAACTAAAAATTCAAAAAGTTTATTTTTATTAGTTTTTAAGCAATTTTTTATATAATAAAAATTGTTTTATAAAGCCATTATTATTTTTGAACTTTTTGTATAATTACACTAATTTATTATTATTATTTTGCTAAATTTATTTAATATCTTTAATATTTCAGCAGTTTTTTTTTTTTTTTTTTTTTTCATTTTTCTTTTAATATCGGCTTAGTACTTTTCAATAACTCTAAATTCTGGGCAGTTTGAAGGATTTTCTGTTTTAGGAACAAATTTCACATTATTAATTTTATAACATTCCAAAGTTAGTTTACAATAATGAATTGCAGAACACAGGTCTCTTATCGTGTGATTTAATGAAAGGTAATAGGCGTTTTTGTAAACACTCTTTAACATATATTTGACCTGAAAGTGTGAACTGAGAAGTGCTGATTTTTTGCCACAACTGCAAATAACTTGCCAAAGCAAAACTTTTTTAGCAAACTTGTCATGTTTTATGTATTTAAATTTCTTATCTGCTTTTCCTCTACATTTGGCAATATAATATACGGCACCAGGAATTTGCTGATAATTAACTTGATATAAGTTTCATGGTCTTCAATAATACAGAAGTTGTTAGAAATAAAATTGTCATACAACTTTCTGCAGCGGGTTTTTGCACTTTTTTGTTGAGTTTCAGATTGGTTGGGTACTTTTTGTGCTTTAAAAGAATGAAAACCATGTTTATTTCGAACTTTTTAAACAAAACTATAAGTCCATAAATGTTTGCGTGCTCCCTTAGTGAAAGGCTTGGGTTGGTCTTAAAACTGTTAACCAGTTTTCTAACTAGTTTTTTATCTTTAAAACCCATCCTTCTTTAACCACTAGATTTACGTTTGATCAATTTTGTTTAAAAAAAACGTTGGATTACACGACTAACGGTATATGGATGTTTTTGCAACGCTTTTGCAATCGAATTGTAGCCAGATTTACGTTTGATCAATTTTGTTTGAGAAAAACGTTGGATTACACGACTAACAGTGAATGGATGTATTTGCAAAGCTTTTGCAATCGAATTGTAGCTACTATTGGGATTTTCCAAATATTTGTGCATATTTTTTTTCTTATATCTTCTTTTTTTGTCATTTTTAAGACTAATTTTAAGTTTAATAAAAAAACTCGGGAATTTCAAAAGTTTAAGAAGGTCTAATTCAACTACAGCTGATCCTTTTTTTTTGTGTAAAAAATAGTTTATGATTAACTATAGCGATGGAATTTGAAGTCGTTAAAATGTTTGCTATTAGGTTGTGAAAAAAAAACTAACAAGTTGTCTGACGTCCCTTCAAGCTTGGCACCAGGGTCAATCCTCTGCCCTCTTTACACCTCCCCCTCTCTTAAAGACCCTGCTAGTGCCAGAAGTAAAATAAATCTATATGCTCAAAGATTTTATAAGATAAAAATCACTAAGCACTGAACTATTTTTCAAAACATAAAAAATTAAAAAAATCTCTGCTATTTTGAATCAATTGATCATGATCAATCGATCATGATTATGATCAAAACTGATATCAGTTTTGAAAATTTTTGCTTTAGACACTAATTAAGTATTGTCTTACTGGAGCAAATTTTATAATGATATCTTACAGTAGCAATTTTATAATGATAACAGTGGTAGACTGTTATCATTATAAAATTGGTTCACTTTTTAGTTGATTTTTTGTATTTTTGCTAAATCATTCAAAAATAATAACCTTTTTAAAAATATATATATATAATTATAATATTTATTTTGATAATGGCTGTTGTATAATTAAGATAATAGTAAGATAATTATAGATAATAGCTGTGTTTTTTTACCAGCTTTTTCACCAAATTCCTTTACTTCATGGAAAAACTTGATATCAGAACTTTTGAGAGATTTTAAGAGGTAGTAAACATAAAAAAATCCTACAAATTTAAACAGAAAGAAATAGTATAAGACTGGTAATGAGGTTGGTGAGCATGATAAAAAATTATTAAAAGTACCACGTAACTTACTTTGGCCAGCGGGGTTACTATGGCCATTTTTAAAATTTTTAATTAAACATCTGTAACTTTTAAACAGTTTAGTAACGTTTTACTATTTAAAATAGTAAAACGTTACTTTACTGTTTAAAAGTTACAGATTTAATTAAAATTTTTAAAAATGGCCAAAGTAACCCCGCTGACCAAAGTAACCCCGAGTTACGGTATGCTCTTTTTGCATAAAAATTTTAAATATTGGTGTTTTTATAATATATTTTACCCCATTTTATCATTTTTGGATTTTTCTTAGAACGCTTTTAAAACAAAAAAAATTTTAAAAAAAGCTCATCATTTTAATAAATACCAAAAATAAGTACGGTATCATAAGACAGCAATTTTGTCTGCAAAAATGCCTCCATATTGCATAAACCAATATTTCAACAATAAATAAGGAAAAAAACTTAGCTCAGATAAAATTCTGATTGACCGCAATTTTTGCTAGCAAAAGGAAACAAATTTACTTCATTTTCCTTAGTTACCAAGTTTTAGACCTTATAATTGATCTTAAATGCACTGTGTTTAAATGTTTGCTCATTTTTGATTTTCTAATTTCCATACATGAAACAATATTCAAACATTTATATCTTTATACTTATTTCAAATAAACATGCTTTACAAAGATTTCGGTGATTGGAGCCTATGATCAAAGTAATACTAAAATACTTGCCGGCTTACCCTTAACGTTAAAGAAAATAGTTTGTAAAATATATTTTTTACTATTTTAAACTTTTTTTGTTCCCAGCCTCAAATTGTTGCAATCTCTTTTAAAGCATCTTTCTTTGCCATAAGTGTAAAAACATAAACATTTGCTTCATGTCTGTAAGTTATTTCGAAAACGGCGCATCCACCCTGTAAACTTTTTAACATTTAGTATACTTTTTTTTCAAACATTGGATATGTTTTAATTGAAAGTTTTTCACCTCAAATTGCATAATAAATGTAATAAATAAATATAATAAATGCAACAAGGAAGTGTGCCACAGAATAACTTTTTTATTAAAGCACATCTTTAACATTCTGAGATTTTAAAGATGTGAGGCGCTGAATGATGATCTTTTAGAGAGGTTATTTTTATCTCTTTTTTCTGAGGAACTTAGTTATTTGTTGTTCCTTAGTTGAAACGTAATTATTTTGTATGATTAGTAATCAAAAAACTATAATTTTACATTTTTACCAAAATATACAAAATTGAACGATGATGGTCAAAAAATTTTATTAGATTGCTTTCTTAGCGAATCTAAACAATCGTGCAAACAATATATAATAGTTTAAAGTTTTATTAATATTTATGATTTAAAAAAATAATTTTTACATGTTAACTCTCTATTTTGTGTCAGTTGCAATTAAGTTATGTAATTAGCAGTGAGTGTTACTCCATTTATTAGAGCAATAACAATCGATACACATCCAAACGCAAAGGACCAATTGTATGACGTAAGATTTGTTATTTTCAGATACCTTGAATATACAACGAGCCCAGACATTGACAGAATTGCTGCACAAAAACAAAATTTTTTAATAATAAATTAAGTTTTTAAAGAGTTGTATAACGTTTAGATAAAAAAAATAAATAAGTATAAATAATTTCTTAATTATTACCTGAAAGTATAATTAGTATACCAATATGCTTATGTCCTAATGTTTTAATTTTTAAATGAATAAATCCAAAGTAAATGAATGAAGTTAAATATCCTAAACATCCCAAAATCATGAGGATCTGAGTCACTACCAACGCAGCTAAAAAATAAATGCTAAATTATGCAACTTGTTTTAGTTTTTATTGCACAAAAATTCCTAATAAAACAATTTAAAAAAGCTACAAAGGTTTAAAAAAAAAGTTACTCAGTTTTCAAGCTTCTTAGTTTTGGAAAATCAAATGCTTTACTTTAAAATTAGTAAAAATTTAAAATGGTAACCAAGTAAGAAAAGTGCTAACAAACTTACTGCTATAAAGAGTGTTCTAAGCACTGACTTCTAAGTACTGACTTCTAAGCACTGACTTCTAAGTACTGACTTCTAAGTACTGACTTCTAAGTACTGACTTCTAAGTACTGACTTCTAAGCACTGACTTCTAAGTACTGACTTCTAAGTACTGATTTCTAAGTACTGACTTCTAAGTACTGACTTCTAAGTACTGACTTCTAAGTACTGACTTCTAAGTACTGACTTCTAAGTACTGAGCATAAATTTAAAGAAACTTAAATGAGCGTATTACTGTTTTAAATAATATTTTTAAGTTTCAGATAAAACATATGCTATTTTTTAAAACACTTTATACTATGTTAAGTTTGTTAAATTACATTATAAAATATTATGTTATATGTTTTACAAAGTGCATTATTTAGTATATCAATTGCATTATCTAGTGTCATAGAATTGTAACGTAATGAACTCAACATAAAATAAAGTTGTATAAAAAAAAATGAAAATAAAAAACATAATAAAAGTTCTGATTATAGAAGAATTTTTAACTTGAATATAGTTGATATTTAAATTATCTGATAAGATACTAAATTTTGTAAAACAAATATTTTTGTTTTTTTTAATAAACCCCGTTGGAAATTACCCTAAAAACATAAAATCAAATCACCAAAAAGTAAACGCAAATCACCCATAAGATAAACTCATTTGGCATTAACAACTTTATTTGTTAATACCAATTGAGTTTGGGCAATCGTTTCGCCAACTTTAATTGTTAATGCCAAATATATGGGCAATCATTTCGCCACATTTTCATATATCTTATTAAAAAATAAAAAATTCGAAGAAAAACAAAACCATCGGTGTTCGGAATTACCCTTCGTACATGGGGTAAATCCGAACATACCGTGGGGTAATCACGAACACTATCAGCTAATAGCAAATAAAATCAAACTTGATTGAAGCGTTAAAGTATTATTGAATGAAATTTTAAACAAATCAAACGTTGAAAAAATAAATATCAATTAATTTTATTCAAACCAGATAAAATGTTACATGAATGAAATGTCAAATATCAAATGTCAAATGTTATTCATAAATTGTTACATCCATTAATTAAGTGCAATAATCAAAGAGAAAACCTCTGGATGTGCTTGCACAACTTGTGCACTTCTCGTAAGACCACGACTTACATTTATAACACATAATCCAGTCTTCCATGGTCGGATCATGATACTTTTGAATGAATGCATGAAATAAATCCACTGAACGTGTTGAAGCATTTTTAGCTATATATATATATATATATATATATATATATATATATATATATATATATATATATATATATATATAATATATATATATATATATATATATATATATATATATATATATATATATATATATATATATATATATATATATATTACAATAATAAACTAATTAAATAAAGTATAATAACTTTATTTAAGAAACATCCGTGTGTTATCAGATACGCTAGAATACTTTGAGAAAACAATAAGCGTTCGCGATTACCCCACTAAGATCGTTCGTTATTTCCACGTGATCCAACCAAATGAAATTAAACGAATATATTGAGGTAGTATTATCATACCCTAAAGATAATACGAGTTACAAACTCCATGATTATGATGCTTTGCAAGAACATAAATAAATGTGTGGTTTTATATGCGTAGTATAGCCAATACATAAATGTTTCGCAAATAAAAATTACATGAAACTAAAAGAAAAACTTAGAATAAATCTATCGTGAACAACCTGCGCATCCATACTACACTACTGCACGTCTGGAACTGAGCATGAAACCCACTCTCGTCAGAAAAAAAAAGATTGTCAACTATCCTTTTCTAACATGCCGTAACGACCTTGTTCGGAGTTACCCCGCGTTTACCATTACCCGACTCTTCTCTATAAATAATTGATAATAAAACAATATATATATATATATATATATATATATATATATATATATATATATATATATATATATATATATATATATATATATATATATATATATATATATATATATATATATATATATATATATATATATATGTATGTATGTATATATATACGTGTGTGTGTGTATGTGTGTGTGTGTGTATGTTTGTAAATGTGTGTGTATTGATAAATGTTGTATACTATTCGAAATACATCTCTAAGAGGAAAAAAAAAATTATTTTACTATCGCTTTGGTTCCGCTGAGTATCGGGTATTTGATGTTAGCGTTGCTGTTGCAACGCTAAATTTGTATTTTTTATAATGCTTTTATATTTTTTAATAATATGACTGATTATTGCCAACAGAGTCATAAAACTTTAAGTTCCATTACAAAGATGTATTTTTGCATTTAAATTATTATATAATATATATATATATATATATATATATATATATATATATATATATATATATATATATATATATATATATATATATATATATATATATATATATATATATATATATATATATATATATATATATATATATATTATGTATATATATATAAAGTATGTATATATAAATGTATATATATATATATATATATATATATATATATATGTGTGTGTGTGTGTGTGTGTGTGTGTGTGTGTGTGTATGTGTTTGTGTATAGGTAGCGACTCTTTACAGTTTTTGGCGTTAGACAAAAACCTTATAATTTTCTTGAACTTTACTTCTTTATATATTTTTTTAAGGTTAAGCATGAAACTTGAGGTTTTTTGCATTATTCAGTTTAAATCTACCTCTTTTCAACCATATACAGGAAGTACTATTTACTACTTTATATACTATTTATATGGCTTCACTTACATATTTTACTTTTCAGAGTTTCAGAAAAAATTTATATTCCAATTTGCTGAAATGAAAAAAATTTTAGTAGATAGAACTGTACTGCTCTCTAATAATCCAGAAGAAGGTTTTAAACAACGTAAAAGTTCAGATAAACTTAATGTTTTGAAAAAAAAATTTGCAAATGGAGATATCCAATACATCACTTTTGTATACACAAGTTTCATCTTTATAGTTTATATGTTATATATTATTACAATATTTATTTTAAATTGTCATAAACATTTTCAATGTTTCTTATACATTGTTTCTTTTTAGGTAAAACAGTTATTACTAATTGGCAGTAAAAATCTAGCTGATACAATTAAAAATATTTTGCTCTTGTAAGTAACTAGGAAAAGAATTTGAATTTTAACATTTATGATTGACAGTACAGCATTTATCTTCTTTTTTATATATGTAGACTGCCAATAGACACTATTTTGTAAGAATACAGCATGAATTGTCTAAAGAAGAAAAAAAAGTTTAAAGAGTTGACAAGTCTATGTAACGCTGTTGCTGGTATTCTTATTAGCATATTATGTGTTTGATTAATTAAAAATTAAAAATGATGTTTTAATTTAAAAAAAAATTAATTTCTTTGGCTATGGAACATGACATGTATTCAAGTGTATGTATACATGACATGTATATTTTATTTAATGATCTTATTGAAACATGTGTTGTTGTTTTTATTAGAAGCTGCTTTAAAGTCAAGTAAAAACTGAACCAAAATGGATGCCATCCAACTTATTGGGAGAGTAATTAGGCATTCTTCTGACCGAATAAAGAGAACATCCACTAATATGGATTTTGATCAATGATGGCTTAATTAACTATTGTATTTTTATTTTTTTTCCATTTTTAAGCAATTTTCTTTTATTTATAATGCACTATCGATTATATTCTACAGTACCTGTTAGTTTTTAATTTGGAAAATGTAATTTTGTTTGAAAAATTATTCTTAATTTTTGTAAAGTTATTAATTTATTTTAAATATATCAAATTACACTTTATTAACATTGATTCCTTTTTATAACTTTCCTTGCGTAGATTAAGGAAAATCTAAGGTGTGTGTTGTGAATCATTGCATTTTTATATATCTTTTAAAAGAATGTCTTGGTAAAATTTAAACGTCTCAAGGACGTCTGAAAAAGACGTCCTTAAGTCTTTCATATGAGACCAGCCAGAGACATCTCTAGAACGTCTGCAAAAAATGTCTCTAGGACGTCTTGAAAAGACGTCTTTAGGACGTCTGGAAAAGACGTCCTTAAGCCTTTCATTTGAGACCAACTAAGGACGTCTTACGGACGAGACTTAAGGCGTCTTACGAACGTCCTTAGGACGTTAATATGCCCGCTGGGTATAATATATATAAGCAATATATATAATATATAAGCAATATATATAATATATAAGCAATATATATATATATATATATATATATATATATATATATATATATATATATATATATATATATATATATATATTATATTTATATATATATATATATATATATATATATATATATATATATATATATATATATATATATATATATATATATATATATATATATATATATATATATATATATATATATATATATATATATATATATATATATATATATATATATATATATATATATATATATATATATATATATATATATATATGACAAAATAGATTCAAACACGTAAACTTTGCTATTGTTTTTCTACCATATCTCAAAATGGTAGAACTAAACATTAGTCAAGCAATAGAAACAACAAAACAACAAAAATCTTATAACATTTAAATAATTAATTAAATATTCTTAAAATAAATAGTATACTTGAAATAATTCATAAATTAAAATCTAAAAATAAAAAGTTACCGCTCGTTTCTCTATCACTGCAGTACGATTGTTTTTCTGAATGCACGCATACATTCCACAAACCAAGATGAACGCCATTTATTGATTCCCATTTGGTCCCAGCAGTAGATAATATACCAAAAATTGATGAAGCAACTACCAACCCAAAATGAATTTTAACAATCATTTTCCCTAAAAAGTAAACTCTCAAAATAAATTAAAGAGGCTTAACACTTCAAAGGACTTTACAGAATAACTACCAACATAACCACATATGAATAAAATTACATACAGGGCTTTCAAGAGGGAGGGGTAACGGGGGTAAATTGACCATGGGTGCCATGCTTGAAGAGCGCCGGACGATCCGTTGTTGTTTTTTTTTTTGTTTTTTTTTTTTAAATAAATAAAAAATATTTTAATGACTGATATGTGAAATCTGCAAAAAAATTGAAATATCTTAAATCTTAAATTTTTGATTACATCTTAGTTTTTGATTTGAAATTTTTTTAATATTCGAAACAAAAACGCACATAAAAAATAATTTAAATTTTATTATTATAGTTAATTATTAACTAGTTTTTTACGGAAAAAAAGGATTTGTTTGTATACTACCATTATAATTACCACAGCTCATCTTTCGTCCAATTGAGCACGAGCTAGCGATGCTAGCTCGTGCTCAATCGCACGAAAGATGATGAGCTTGGTAATTATAGTGGTAGTTGAAGCGCTTCTTTTTCAAGTAGTATTTAACTGTTAACATTTTTACAAACTCATTGAGCATGTCATATTCTGATAAGCTTTTGTAAATAATTAAGAAAATTTAGTTTCATTATAAAGTTTGTAGGAAAAAACTCATTCACTGACCTACTAGAAACCCAAGCCAAAAGCTGTTAACCACATAAAAAATACGACTTAAAATATTGTGAATTGTATCAATCACGTAAGCAAGAAGAAGGATACGAATTCTGAAGAACTAATGTTTGAGGAAAAAACTAGACGAATAAGAGTTTTTTGAGCACTTAGGAACAGTTACAGAAAAAGTTGAATAATACGAGAATGAACTTTAGTAGATGGCGCAGAAGATTCTAGCTCTTTTGAGCAGTGTTTATTATAGTTGTAAAAATGAGAAAGAGAAGCAACATTACTACGATGCAATAATGGTTGGAGGTCGACTGCAAGAGCAGGCCTAACTTTGTTTACATTGTGTTTTTGCACCTTCTTTAAAAGAAAAAGGGCATCATTGGAAGATCCGCCCCAGACAACAGTATTCCATACAAGGCCGGATTTGAGATTTATAGAGAAAGAGAATAGAATGAGGACTAAGAATAAAAAAAACAAGACACAAGACTAGTAGAGAAGATAAATGATTCAGGTTATCTGGGAAGTTGACTATTTGAGTTAGAAACCTGACTAACAGCCAGCCTAAAAATCATAAAATTGAGTTTTAGAGCTGTACCCTCATTAGGAAATAATAAATTATAATAAATATGTAATGTAATAATATATATTATATAATAAATATGTAATGTTATGTTCATAGTAAAACATTAAGTTTTGTTTATAGTAAGTAATGAAGAAATATATCACGTAAAAAATGATATACTGATAAAATTAACAAAACATCAAAGTGTTTAAAAAACTATATTGATAAAACTATATCAACTAAAAAGGTTTATATTTGCTTCAATTGTGATTTGTTAAGGTGGTAGGAATGCAAATAAATGATAAAAAAAAATATTTTGAGAATTTTTTTTAATGTGGAATTTCAATCTTTAATATGTCTATTTTCATGCAATTAACATTAAAAACAATAAAAAATATTTCTTGGTCCATATTTACATCTTAAAACGCTTTTAGGTAGCATCAGAGTCCATAACAACATCCCTAGTTACCATGAACAGAAGTTTATTCTTTATTTTCTTCTCATAATATATGCCTTAACATATACTAAGGTGTATCTGCTATAAGTTTTTAGCAGTCTAAATATTATATTTGGAAGTCACAATCATAACTTAGATAAACAAGCTGATAAGTTGTAACAATACTGTTAAAAATTTTATACTTCGTATTATTTACAAAAATTTACCAAAAACTGTATTTGTTGGCAGGGAAACCATAGAAATTATTTATTTTAATGATGGGCGGAAAGGAATACTTTACATTTGGCAGCAAATACGGCAGGACTTCTAGAAGATCATGAGGATCTTATCATGAAGCCCTATAAAAATATAATACGTTTACACTTTTTCAATATAATTTTAATTAAAAATAAACTGTTCGTAATGAAATAATATATCTTTTTATAAAAAAACTTAGTAATTATTAGTCTAAAATAAAACAATATACAAAATTAGTTAAAAATATATGAGAATATTTTCTAATAAAAGGATAATCTTTTTAAGTTTCTGTTTAAATGAAGCATAAGCCATTTTAATAGAAAAACCAAAATTTGGTAAAACTATTTAGTTCCAGAGATAAGGTCCTCGATAAGAAACTGGTCTTTTTTTTGATGGCAAAAGGGAGCAATAAGATCGTTATTAGTGCGAAGATTATATTTGTTTTTCGGTTTCAAATTATAAACATTTTTAATTACAGTTGGTGACAGATTTTCTCTACATTTAAACATAAAACACAAAATATTAAAAAAATTTAGTTGGTACACATTCAAAATATTCATTTCTTTAAAAAGTTGTTTTGTATGAGAAAACCGATTTTTTAAGTTTATTACGCGAACTGCGTGTTTCTGACGAAGGTAAAGAGGTTTAAGCTTTGTGTTATGGGTGCTTCCCCATATACTATTTGCATAGTTTATATGACAATGAATATATGAATAATATAATTGTGTTAAGTAATGTTTACTTAATATATTTCTTGCTTTATACAGAATTCCGATGCATTTTGCAATTTTTGTGGAAGTAGCATTGATATGATATCTCCAGGACAAATTTTCGTCAATATATATTCCAAAAAACTTTGTAACCTTTTCCCTTTTTAAAGTATTATTGTCGATTAAAAGATCTGGTATGATATGTGGAAGTTTTTGTTTTTTAGAAGGCGGATAAAAGAATGTCCATTTCGTTTTTTCAATATTGAGGGACTAGATTGTCCCTTTTGTTTAAACCAAACAGAAACTTTTTTTAGTTCATTTGTCATATCAGTAAATTGTATATTAATATTTTCATGAGACGAAAGTAAATTTGTATCATCTGCAAAATTTATTGTTGTTAGGTTTGAAGATTTATAAAGATCGTTTATGTATATTAAAAAAAAGAATGGACCAAGTATGGATGCTTACGGAACTCCACATGATATATTCATAAATGTACAAGATGTGGAATCTTTATTGAAGACAAATTGTTTACGGTTTTTAAGGTAACTTTTGAACCAAAGCAAAGTTTTATCCTTAATACCATAAAACATAAGTTTTTTTAATAGAATTTGGTGATTCACAGTACCAAATGCTTTGGACAAGTCAATAAAAACCCCTAATGTAAAACGAGAGTCTTTGAATGAATCTGCAATGTTGCGCGTAAGTTGAAAAACGGCATGTTCGGTTGAATTATTTTTTTTAAAGCCAAATTGGTTTTCATGCAGTATTTTTTTTTCAATAAGATAAAAGTAGACTTGATTAAACATTATTTTTTCTAATGTTTTTGAAAAAGCTGGAAGAACCGAGATAAGGCGATAATTTGTTATATTTGTACGATCGCCGGTCTTGAAGATTGGAGTTATTTTCAGTTTATCTGGAAAGGACTGAAGGTTTTAGAACACTTTGGCTTAAAAGTAAAATTTTTAAAGGCTGTGGAAACAAAGTTAGGTAATTCACGCATTAAGGGTAAAAAGTTCACAAATGCAGAGAAAAAAGCATAGAAATGGATTGCGAGCTAGAAAAAAAGGATTTTTTAATAAAAATGGGTGAAAAAGAATCAGTAGATTCATATCAAACTGGTTTTTACTGAGGAGATAACTTTTTGTTTTGCATTTTTCTCTGTTTTTAATTTTTTGTATACTAGCTATAACTCAAAACATGATAACTTAAGATAGAACTGAGCATTTAAATTGAAATTTTGAATTTGTGTTTGATATAATCTAATACTCCGGAAGACCCTTGGATTTTACACAAAACTTCTAATACCTTATAACAATTCAATTTAGGTGCAAATTTTTATCTACATTTGTTGAAAAAAATGTTTACAAAAACTTTAATTACTCATTAAGTAAAATGATTTATGCAAACCCTAAGCGTCATCCTAAGCGTCATCCTAAGCGTCATCCTAAGCGTCATCCTAAGCGTCGTCCTAAGCGTCGTCCTAAGCATCGTCCTAAGCGTCATCCAGAGTATAATATAATAATATACATATGTGCAAAAAGATTATCAATTTTTTTTTTATTTTATCAAGATATCATGTTTTAAAAACATTATTTTTAAGGGTCAAAATTAACACATTTTCCGCAATTATGGATTTTCTGTTTAAAATAAATAAAAAATTTTATGCAAACTATTTCTCTTAATGTATTTAACAATTTTAATAAACTACCACTTTAATAAATATTTTAAATACAAAGTTTTTTCAGATTTGCAAAGAATGTTAACATTTTATTGCTCGTTTAGCACTAATGTCCCAGGAAAAAAAGTTCTATAGAATTTTTTATAAACTTTTGAAACAATATAGAATTCTATAGAATTTCTATAGAGTTTCTGTTAACTTCTATAAAAATTGCGCTAACACTGCGCCACGGCTGCTCGTAGTTAATAATAGTAAATAGCTACGTATTTACTATTATTAACTACGTATTGCTTCAACAAAAATAATATGAAAGTTCAGATAAATTGGTATTACCTCCAATAAATTCATCCAGAAAACTTTTATAATTGATCTAAAATATGGTGTTTAACAACCAACATAGAGAGGTTTCTGAAAGCCAACACTTTTAAAATATGTCATTAATCTCTTTATCACGCCACTTGTTTTCCCAGTATTAATATTTGTAGTGTCTGTTACGATCATTTTTATAGATCCTCGTAAATCATATTTCTTTAAAAGTTCTCAAAGTCCAGCAAAAATTGTCTCTGACTTTCCATTCTTCAATACCTTTGGCTTCAGTCTGACCTTTTTTTTATTGTTCTTTTTGACGAGTACTTGATGTTCCACCCCAGCTATCTTTTTTCCATCAAAATGCAAACACCAATTCTCAAACTTTAGTTCTTTTCTCAATTTATCTCGTAACTTTTTAACCTTCTCTGATGACTGCCATATAGATTGCTGGTTGAGTTGGTGCAGGAAGATCGACACCAGCCATCTGAAGTTGTTGAAACACTGTGGCAGCTTTTCGTGTACTTAGCTTTACATGATAAACCAATTTAACAGGATCGACTGTTCTGTGTTTAATTTTTTGTTCAAATTTATTTTTTTTATTGTTTAAATTCACTCCCACTGTCACTTACTGGCTTATTACTACTTCGTGTTCCTCTCTGTATTCATTCGGAATTAAAGTCGGTGGGATTGATGGGACGTTTTTTATTAAAGGATGTATTTTTTTTACGATTACCAGGCTTTATTGTGGTATAGTGCAGCCGTAGCGCAGTGGTTACAGCGCTTGCTTTATAAGCAGAAGATCCAGGTTCGAAACGAGCTTTGGACATATTTTCGCGTCACGGTAAGGAAGGAGGCGTGAACTTCCTAATTAAATGCAATTCCGCGGTGCTCTGTGCAAGACCGTAAGGTCTTCTTGGGGCACCTAAATAATAAAAAAAAAATCCAACTCTACCAGATCTCTAATTGCTTTATAAAAATATTTTTATCTTCAGAACGCAATCAAAGTCCATCCTCTTTCGTTATATCTAACAAAGCATCAAAACTATAAATACCTGGTTTTTTTGATGATTGATTTTTTTTTACAAGTTTTTTTTTCAATTTATCTTGTAACTTTTACCTTCTCTGAAAACCTTTGCTTACCTTTGCTTAAAATCTTTTACTTCTGTTTTTAAAATAAATTTAACGTTGTTTAATTTATGAACAATCTTTTAGGAATTAAAATTCATTTGAGTTTTTAAGAGGATGTACCTTGAAACTATTTTTTTCAAAATATAAAAGCTCATAACCAAGTGACATGCTCATTTGAAAATCTTTAAATTTTTTATTTTATACCCTTAGTACATTTTACTTCTATACTCCGGAGGTTTTCCCTGGGTACCCGAAACATATATGTGCAAGGTAACCGGCACCGATTATACCTAATCTGTATATTCTGAGTGCCTTCTGACAACTGAGTTTTTTTGACCAACAGTAGATCTGTAAAATAAACTTTATATCTGTAAAAAATAATGTTTTGATAAATTACTATTTTCAAGTTTGTTCTGTTTAAATTTAAAAGTTTAATATGTAAAATAATTTTATCTAATAATTAATTTAAAATAATCTAAACAAACTAATAAAAATGATATAAATTATAATAAACCTGCCTAAAATAATTTTCTTTACTTCCAATTAGCAACTCACGACCTCCTAAAGTTATTTTTTCCGTTATTTAAATTATTTTGCAATATATTTGCAGTATTTTTTTTTTTTTTGCACTATTATAAAAAGGTATTGCTATTTAATACTTTATTAGAAGATGAAACATAAATTAGTAAATACTTTTATCAAGTTATAAATACTTTATTTTAAAATCAGCGTGCAACAATGTTAACTTATAAAACATCGTGTGCATCAAGAGATGCGTTTAAATGTCACACGTATTTAAATATTCAACACTAGTTTAATAACACCGCATGCTCACTCATTAGTTTTTATCGTACTAATGTCTTTTGTTAATATTCACAGTTATTTTTTATTATAATGCTTTATTATAAAATAAAAAAGTATTATTATAAGGCTTGTTTCTGAATACTTTGATTTAACTGATGTCAAAGAACTACTTTGTATATATATATATATATATATATATATATATATATATATATATATATATATATATATATATATATATATATATATATATATATATATATATATATATATATATATATATATATATATATATATATATACAGTGGCGAATTAAGACTTCTTGGGGCCCGGGGCTATTTTTGTTTTTGGAGGCCTTTTTATTGAAATTTTTTGTTTTGTTTATTAGTGAAATTTAGCGTTGCGTAGTTTACGAACAATCCTTTATTTAAAAGTTAAGATTAGGGATCAGCCTTAAGATATAAAAAGCCAAAAAACAATGGAGTATAATACTATTTTGATGATTATTTAAAATCTGTCGTTGTTGCGCACTCGGTTTAGAATGTTTAACGGGGGCGTGGTAAAATAGCTGTAAATCTCTAAATTTCCTTATTGTATCAATATTAAATAAATTTAACTTTTAGTTATTTTTAAAAACAATTAATTCAATAAAATGGTTTAATTTAATTATAAAATTAGAATGTTCAATTATGTTCTTATATGAAACATACTTTTTAACCCCCTTACTGTTTTAAAAAGTTAAGGTCGCTGCGTGGCAAGTTCAAATCATCAGCTTGCTTTATTTTTTAATTTTTGTTATTTAAAGTGTAAACCAAAACAACTTTACAGTTCTATAGATTTTATATTCTATATATAAACATGTTGTATACTCATTTTTCTTGCACAAACTCAACTTAGTTGGAAAAAAAATTGAAATGTAAAACTAAAATAACATAAGTATCTCAATCATGACACGTACGCAACAGTTACCCCCCCCCTCCGTTTTTGAATGTTTTAAGAATTTTTAGCTTTTTTAAAAATCTTTTTGTTTGTAAAAGTGTATAATACCGTTAGATATGTGTGTTTATAATCCTTATAAAACTTCACAAGTATTTTGAATTAAAAAAAATCTAAAAAAATTAAAAAAAAATCATCGGTGGTAGAACTCAAACAACGACTTTTATGTTCAGAAGCTCAGCGCGCTATCCACTCGGCCATGCTGGCATCCCAGGAAAAAAAGTTCTATAGAATTTTCTATAAATTTTTGAAACATATGGCCGACAGAAATTCTATAGAATTCTATAAAACTTCTATAGAGATTCTGTTAACTTCTGTAAAAATCCCAATAGAATTTTTTTTTTCTACTTATTTTTTTATAGAAAAAAAAGTTTTATAGCAATTTCTATTGAAATTAGTACACATTCTATAGAAATTCTATAAGGTTTCTATAGGCCATATGTTTCAAAAGTTTATAAAAGATTCTATAGAACTTTTTTTCCTGGGACGTCGATCTTCGAAATTTTAAAACTATATAAAAATTGTTTGTAAGGGAAATAAATGCTGCAGATCAAAAATTGAGAAGAGGTTAACGCAATGCAGTTTTTACGTGAAAGCCAAACTGTAAAACTTGATATATGTTTAAGTATGTTTTAACATTACATAACATGAAGTTTACGTGTGTACGATATAAGTTTCACATTCGCTCACGTTTTCTTATAAAGCAAAGCCGAGACTTTTTCTCGTCAATACCTCGAATGCAATAGCTGCCAAGGGTTTTGTGTCAAACACGCTCCAAGGGACACTACTACTACTAAAACTATTAAAACTATTAAGTGCGGCAATAATATATAGAGGTTTGAAAATAATAATAATTTAATGAAATATTTTATTATGAAAGTATATTAAGTCAAATTGTTTCCGATTGTAAAGTTGGAACAGCAGTAATGGGTTTATACACTGGTATTACTGCTTATGCAGATTATATATTCCTGCAAAATCCTACTTTTTCTGGGCTACAAGAGTTGATTAATAAAGTTTAAACGCAATTTCAAAACCTCTATGTCAAATTAAACACAGAAAAAAACCGAGTTCATTATCTCCGGTAAAAGTTTAGTTACAAAAAACATAATACAAGTTAACGGTTTTTCCTGAAACTTAATAATAAACTGAAACACCTCAGAATTCTATGGGGAAATCAAGACTATTGACAAAATATAGTTACAATCCAATCAGCAAATGTAAACGAAAGAATTATTCAAGAATTATTTTTTGTCAACCAGTAACTTTAGTGCATTTGTTCAAATCTCTGGCTATACCAAATCTATCATATGGATTAGAAATTTATGATAATAATAAAACTTTTCTTAATAAATTAGACGCTGTTGGAAGATTAGCATTAAAATTTCTCTTTAGTATTAAAAAATACAGCAAAAACTGCATTCCTATATTGAAATCGATGACGTATCTACCATCCTTGTTCAAAACAAATTGAATCTGTTTATCAGATTACTGAGCAACCTGACTTGTTTATTCTTGATTTTAACTCAAATATCTAATGTTAATAAGGAGAACTGCTTTATCAACAAACTAAACAAAATTTGCAACCGCCTGGAGCTAAGCTTCATGCAGTGTTTAATTAAGGGGGAAAAAATCGTTATTTAATGTCGTATCGATGACGTAGAAGATAATATAGCGGAAATTTTAAACCAGTCCTTTGAATTCTAGAACATCAGAGAGCAGACAACGATATTCAAAAATTTGACGGAAGAAATCATTTCAAGAAGAATCTGAATTAGAATTTCAACTTAGAATATAAACTATTAGTTTTATGACCTTTGTATTATTTACCTGTAATTTGGGTGATAAAAAGAATAAATAAATAAATAAAATAAATAAATAAAATACATATTATTGCCAAACTTAATAGGTTTAATTTATTTTCAATTTATAAAAAGATTATTTTCAAAATAATAATCTTTTTATAAATTGAAAATAGATTGAAACTTAAAGTACATTTTTACAAGATTTTTTGATTATAATTTTTTTTTCGATGTTTTTTATAAAATTATTACAATTTACTTAGGGGGCTTGAGGTGCAGCTAAAAATAATTTTATTTTTTCATATAGAACACATTAAAGTGCATGATGCAGATATTTTTGCATTTTAATTTTATCAATTGAAGTATTTTTTGTAAATCCGTCCACAAATTTTCAAATAAATGCAACTTTTGAAAAATTTTCCGTTAATTGTTGTAATTGCTTGAGTTGTAATTTGCTGTGATGTAATTGTTGTAATTGCTGGAGTTGTAGTTTGCTGTAAAACACCTGATATAAAATGTTTTTCAATTTCGGTTGACAAATTTTCTAATAATTGTTTATTAAAAAAAAAAACTTTTCTTATTTAAAATTTCTTATTTTTCTTTATGGTTTTGCTTTTTAGTCTATTCTTCCTTTTATTGATGTGCAGAAAAACAGTGAATCTCTTTTCGTCATGTCTGGACAATATCGATAGCAAGACATGACGAGAAGAGATGGCCAATATTGTTTTTTTAAAGTTTAACGAATTTATCAGAGCAAAAACACAACGCAACAAAAAATTACTAAATAAAATTTTATTCTAACCCTCTGAATTCAAATATTACATTAGGTTTTGTTTAGCGTCTCTCATTGCTTTTATTTTTATTAGTTCTACTCAAATTGTTTTTGATTTTTTGATTTTTTTTTTCATAAAACCTTTTTTTTCCATAAGTTTTACTAGCGTTTACTTTAATTTTTATTTTTTTAACTAGTTTACATTTGTTAGTTCGTTTTTAGAATATAATGAGAGTAGATAAAAATTAACACAATTTATAAAGGTTTTATAAATTTTATAAGGTTCAATGCCGGTACTCGCCAATAAGCGACATTATTGATGAAGGAGACGTTAACTTCATGGTTAATGAGAAAGTTCTTGTAGCACCATAATAACTAATAAAAAGGTGCATTTCAAGCAATTAGACCCTTAAATTTTTTTACAAAAGAAATAATTCTCTCCAAAAAAATCTTATATTAACTTAATGTGGCGTTCTGTTGGGTCATTTTACAACTAAATAGGGTAGAAGATTTTGGTTTTATAAAATTAATTGAAGTGATGTGTCATAATTATTAAATACACAGTAGGAGTTATTTTAGTGAAAATGTTATTTCATAAATATATGTACGCACCGAACGTGTGGCAAAACAACCGAACGTTCGGTTTTGCCGAATATTTGGCGCATCCCTAATATTTAGTTGTTTTATCAGTCATACGATATTCTCATTTTTTCACATGTTTTTCGTAAAATAGTATACAACTGTTTACTTATATAAGTTTATAGAAAATGTACTTGTTGTATCGTTTTCCAGTGGTAAACCGCTGGAAACGTTTTTCCGATTGTTTTTTTCAGTTACAACTTTTTGGGGCCTTTCTGAAAGCCATGCTTTGATATATGTCTGAAGCTCCTTATCTTATTTGATTGCTTTAAAGTTTGCGGAAGAGTCTTTTGTGGGGACTTTATTGAATATTTTTTCCGGATCCATTAAGACGACGTCTGTAACGTATTTCGAGTACATAGCATATGTCATTAGATCAATACCCTTAAATGGATTTGTCAAGCACAATTTGGAGATATAAACATGTTGTTTTGATATAAGAACGTTTAAAATGCAGTAACTTTTTACAAAAAGCTCCATAACTTTGCAAGGGATAATAGTGAGTGATCCTGGTTTAAAATTAGGTACTTAGAATTTGGAGTCTTCTTGAACAAGGGTGTTATGTTACAGTGTTTTAAATCGTCTGTCACTTTAACTTAAGTAAGAAAAATCTGAAATGGAAAATGCTG